TATCTAAAAGCTGAAGGCTGGAAAGGGCTAGTGGGTAAGGGTATGTAGGATCCCATTACTCTGAGTATGAGCAGCCCAAGGTGCCCATAAACTCAAAGCTTGTGTTTGAGGTTAGTGTATGTGTCATTAACTCAAAGCTAATCAGGCGAGTGCCAGAACTTTGCACAGAACTAAAAACATTCCCTGTAGCATACTGAGAAATGTATGTATTTTCTTACACTGTTCTTCTAAAACCAAAAACAGAGCTTCAAGTCAATGGTTCGTGGCTCCTTAGTGCAGTTGCTGAAAGTAAGAAAAGGGGCTGGAAGCAAAAGCCAAGAGTGAATTTCTGACTGATCCAAGCAATTGAAACTTTTCTGAAAGTGGACTATTGCTCAGTGCATGTTCAATAGTAATACGTTTGGCTTCATATGCCCCAGCTAAGTTGGTGTCATTCCCAAGTATTTGAAGTCAGAAATTGCTATTTGCCAAACAGGCATAAACCAAACTATTTCCTGTTCTTAAAACTTGCGGAAGTCTGTTTATAGACCTGCGGTGTGGCCCCCTCCTAATCCCAATAACACTTGTTTTTCCTCAGTCCTGGGTGGGGAGAGGCCAAAGGGAAGGAACCTGGGTAGAGTTCATCCGTAATATCCCAAACACCAGCTCCTCCCTTTTCTTTCTGCCTGGGGAAACTGAGCTGCACATCTGCAAGCCCTTTTGAAAGAGAGGTGCTGGATTGGGCTCTCCTGGGTGATTGCACTGGTCTAGTCTTCCTCTAGAAGGTGTTTAAGGTGTTTTTTCTTCTTCTAGATAGTATTTGTCTTGCAATCCAAATTTGCAGTGCTGAAAGGTCAGGATTCAAATTTTGAACAGAATGCATTGTGGAGAGATTATTATAATTGCATACAAGATTTTGTTTTTATTTTCTGCCCATCTAACTTCCTTTCAGGAAGTCTCAACTGACTTTATGAATTATGAGCCAATTTTTAATCGCGATTATACATTGCTCTTTCTTCCACAGCTTTCTGCTTAATTTCAGCATTCAGGATGATCCCACAAGAACGTAGAATTATGGCTGCATTAGCAAGTTCAAAGGTGGCATTTCTTAATTTCTGAATGTCTGTTCCCCCCACCCCGATCTAAATACCTTTACTGTGCTACAGGGCTTATGTGGTTCTTTCCCTTCTCTTTGATATGATGCATTTGAAAACTTCACAGACAAGAGGCAAAACTCGGGGTCCTTTTCTTCCTTGAAATAAAAGAAACTGATATCTTTATACCACTCTCCTCTTTAGAAATGCTGTAGAAATGTGTTGTTATAGCTATGAGTGCAATTGGGAGTCTGCAGTGTAAGAACAATAGTGTTTATTAGATGTACTTGATTTGACAAGGAAACTAATTCGTTGCTTATGTTTAATACATGGCATCTCAGTGTTCATAATCTCTTGTCAAATTGAATTCTGTTAGGGCTTTTGAAACTGAATATAGGAAAAATTCCTTATCTACCTATGCAGAGCTGAATAATCACATATTTTCTTAAATAGTTGGCCTGAATAACAACAGGATTGAAGAGGGTTGATTTAATCAAAAGAGCTTAATCGTTTTGTTACAGTTAACTTCCCCATTAAAAAAAAATCAAATTGAAGAAATATTAAACTTGGAGCACATAGTTTCAGTGCCTCCCTGACAGAATTATTTGCAGACTTCAGTGCATGCAGACTAGCTCACTGAAAACCTGTGGTGCCCTTATCTGTTAACAGCATGCTAGGTGGTGTTGGTGCTCTTGGAGCTTCTCCGGGCTCACCTTAAGGTGTGCGGAGTTCTGGATTTCTGAAAACTGCTCTTCTAGCATATATGGCCATTCCAGCTTTCTAAATATGTATGGGTCTGGTTAAAATGGAGAGGTTGAAACGAGATCAGTCAAATCAGCCAGTTGTCTGGCTTGTGAGATTGAATCCTGGGGCACCTTGTTTGCGCTGGTGGAGATGAGTGATGGGTCCTGTTTGTGCTCCAGGGTGCCAGCAGATAATCTGTGGTTGCACAGGGGCGCAGTGCAGCTACCTCTGAATCACACTGCCCTTTTCTCTTTGAAAACCCAGGGAGAATCTTGTTGATTAGGTATTTTCCTTGCTCCTGTTTCAAATTTTTCCCCTCCTCTTAGGCTTACTGGACAACTTCAGGACTTCCTTAGCATTGCCCAGTAGAAGCCTTTCTACCTAGGGACCTTAATAACTACCATTTCCACTTGAGTTTTAGACTGTACAATAGTTTCCATTTATAGACAGAAGTAGCAGTATAACTTACTGTAGAAATAACAATTCCATTTCCTAGTGTCTGTGCAGTGTGATCTAAGGTCACAGACTGCAGTCTATGCACTACTTCCCCCCTCCCCCCTCCCGGTTGGACTTTTTCTCCTTGTAGTGAGCAATGGCTGACGTGTGGCTACTAACATTGAAAGGTTGATATAAACATTAACAAATTAACTCTGGCAAGAGATGCGCTAAGCGGGGGCAGTAGCGCGAACCTTTGCTCAAGCGCTGTGGCGTGTGACGCTGCTTCCCCAGTTGTGAGCATAACCAACGATGTGTGGAGCAACTGCCTGCCAGGGTCCCCACAGAGGGGGCAAAAGAAATTGTAATGCAAGATGCACTTAAAAAGTTGGGGAGCACCAGTCTGTATGAAATGTCTATGCCAAGAATGCGGGAGTCCAGAAGGGCTGGAAAAGCATTTGTAGCTGTTTTAAGGTCTTTGCTGGGAGAGCGCAGTGAACTGGGTGCAACCTCCTTTGATGGCAGAAGGATGATAAGCTGAGTCAGCTCTTCTGAGCTCTAGACTGTGATCCCAGACATTTCAAGCTGGACAACAGCTCAAACAAATCTATAGAGAAGCTTGGATGCAGAGCTGTGCCTCACATCAGATTGCACTGGCCTTTCAGTATATACAAGGCAATATCCCAACCATTACACAAGAAAATTTGGGGTTAATTCTTTCTTCTTTTGTCATATCCTCTTTTAAAACTATTTCTGATTAACTTGGGAAACATTTCCCGCTATAGGAAGCCTGATGAGTGGTACCACTAAGTAGCACTTGTGCAAAATGGGCATTGCTTGTACTTGGTAACATGCTGGGTACTTGGGCTGTCTGGTCCTAGTACTAAGAGAGTAGAGACAGCCTGGGCAAGTTGTTAAATAATTCCTGTGGGTGAGACCAAGGCATTTTTATCTACAGCAAGCAGGAAAGTTGTTGCTGTCAGGTGGTGGTGGAATAGCAAAGGGTTGTCCTTCATCTCCTGCCCCTCTGAGTTGCACTCAGTGATACAATCATGTGCAAATTTCCTGGGGAACTTCAAAGTGGGTTATGCTGATGTAAAAGTTTTTCTTTAAGGCAGTTGTGTATGTGCGTATAGATGGAATGCATGGAAAGAGTAAATTTCTTCAAGCTTCAGTATATACTGAGAGTATATATTTTTGTTATAGTGAGATTTCTGTAGCTTGTATAAAGCCTAGAAAAGAAACATGAATTACTGTAATCTGTTTGGGATGTATACATAGCCTATTAGATCCACTTTGAAGGTTTTGGTTGTGCTGCCTTATTGTCATGTATGTTAAGTACTTGTTAGTTACATATATTTTAATTGATTAATTTAGCTAATATTAGTTAATTATTTGCGTGAAAAATTACTCACTTTTTGCCACTTTTTTCCTCAGGAAATCTTCACTGAATCCTCTGGAGGCTTGACTCCCTCTGTCTCCTTTCCTGCTGCTCTCCGTGTTACTCGTCTCGTCTTCATGAGCACCTTATGTCATGGTAACAGTCCCTGCAGGGAAGGCAAGTCGGACTCTGCTCCTTCTGGGGCCATCAGAGCTATCGGAAGGGCTTCCTGCCAGCTGCAAGTTGCTCCTTCGGCCCTAGAGGTGAGTAAATATTTCCTGTAGAGCTACTAGATCCAGTGAGAGGGAGGCTGGTTGGCCTCGGTGGTGGTCAGACCAGGTTGAGTTATGAAGCAAAATGCTTCATAATGGATATGAATGCTTCCAGTTTGAAGAGGAGGGAACTCCTGAGTAATCTGAAAATCAAAGTTTGAAAGAATCTGTGTGTATTTTGTTTCATTTTTTGTTTGTTTAAACCCCTTTTGGGAGGGAGGTCACAAGTGTTAGTGCTGTGCTAGCTCATAAATAAATGGTGAGTCTTACCTAAGCCAAGAAATTCCTATCTCTGTATGTTTGTTCCTCATATGAGGTCACTGCTATCAGTTTTATTCCCATTTCCTGAAGCTGTATCCCCATTTACCTTTGCTTCTCCAGGCCTACAAATGCATATTCTCCATGCCCCTTCAGTCTTGCAAGGCAGGTGTTGAGCACCTTATGTTTTTACTATTTTCTCAGGCTGAAGGCTTAGAAAAAGTCTTTTGGGTGAACCTTTTGTTTAAGTTTGTGAGAAGTGTTGCAAGCTTTCAACTGAAAAGGAAGCATTAGAAAAGGAACATCACAAAACAAGACTGATGGTGATATTTTGCTGTTATGTAGATATAATCATAAAACTGCCATATGCACAAATTCACCAAATCCCTGTAGTGTGACTTAAACATTTACTTAAAGTTAAGCATGTAAGTATTTTGCTGCCCCAGGGATATAATAAATAACTCAAGGACTATGGAAGCTAGAGGAAAGACTCTTGTCAATATAAAATATCCAAGTCTCTGCTGTATCAGATAAGGTTTTCCTGAAGAAAAGTAGGTTTATTACTCTGATTTTAAAAGTGGTGTATGCTTATAGATAAGTGAAGGTCATGTTTTTTTGGGTTTCTTATTGTTTTTTTTCTAAAATAGATATTTATTGCTTTAAAGTCAGTCATGTTTCTTTTCTTCACACGAATATTTTGGTTGCTTTTGGCTCACTTACATGCCTGAAGAGGGTGATCACAATGTAAACCCTTTTCTTTTGCATATCCAGGTGTGTTGTCTAGAAAGTTGGAGAATGGATTGACTACACTTTATTAAAAGCTCACAGGACGTGAAGTAGAGCTTCGGAAATGGCTCTACAAATTATGTAAGTTCAGTTTCGTTATCTGGTGCAAAGTGATTGCTAAACGTCATACTGTTGTTATATTTAGATGCTTCCATTGTAAATACTTTGCTAATTCTAACAATTTGGCTTACAAGTGACTACAGGAAAGTTCAAGAAGTGCTTTTATCGTGAACGTTTGTCAGCGTCATCGACAGTAGTATCTTAATCTCATGAGCTTGTATTTTATTTATTTACCAGTTGTTATTTCTGTTTAATCAAAGTAAGAGTGTGCTTCTGTATATTGGTTGCTGTTTTAAATTGTATTTAACATATAATCCAGACAATAGGTTTATAAACTCTCCATCTTTTTTCTAAGAATATTTTTTAATCCTCTTCTGTTGTTCTGTGGTGTGTGTGTGTGTATGTGTTTTTCCTACCCAACTTTTCCATTAGTAGCTTTTATTCTTGCAAGCCTTCATTCTGTTTGCTGTGTGCTGGGCCAGGGCAGAACATAAAAGGACTTCTGCTCCAAGTCAAGGATGTGCCTCTTCAAGTGTAGTAGTGGGTTTTGTAGATGAAAATATTATCTTCAGAGGCTTATATACAATTTATGTCAACATTAACTTATAAATAGCAAAGAAATTCAGGCATACATTTTCAAATGGAAAAATCTGGAAGCTAACATTCTTATGTCTATAGTGTCTTATCTTAAATTGGTATGCTATGTTAAACTATATAGAAAAGAATTGGTTGGCTCCAGTAGTATTTGTGCACTTCAAACACTTAGCTTTCTTTGTTGTTAAGGACGTGTGTGTGTATAAATATACACACACACAAGTAAGTGTCCAGGTGTGTCAATAAATACACTGTAGCTTTATACATTCCATGATACTGAAGAATTAACTTGGAATAAAAACACTTAATCATAAGGAAATAAAATTATTACACAAACCCTATAAAATGACAAAGAATGTCAGTTTTTTCAAATAACCTGCAGTTGAATTTTAGATAACCTTGCTTTGCCTCTTGCAGAAACCTGATCTTAGAAGGCTAAAAGTTCTGTGCAGGACAGCTGGAATTAGTTAAGTACTGGGACCACTGCTGATTTGGCTGCATCCTCCAACATGACCAATCCTCAGTAAGTACTGTATGAGAAAAGTTGTAACTTAGTTAAAATAGAAGGGAACAATTCCTACTTAGAGATGTAAGTTTTTGTGCCGCTAAGAAGTTCCATCAGTGTTACTGGAAGGAAACTTGGTGTTCTGAGAGTGAGAGCAATAGGATTTGTTAAGTTGTCTAAAGCTTGAATTAGCACGAATCAACTCGCCTTGGACTTGCAAAGGGTAAGTTCCACAGGGTGGCAGGTACTGCTGCACTAAAATTGAAAATCAAGGAACAGCAATTCCAGCTAAAATTCTCTCTCCCCTATGGCCTCTGATTTCCCATTGTTTGCAGACCAATATATTTGTGGGAAATGATGAGAATCTCAATACTTGTTTGTTGCTAATTAGACAAAGAATGAAATAAAATAAGGCATTAGATCATTCAAATAGAAGCACTTACCTCTACTTTCTGCCATCGTATGATACAGTCACAACATTTCCCTGCCAGATAATTGAGTTATAATGGCATTTTCAGATTTTCCAAGTTGCTTGTGTTACTGGCAGCTGTTAGTGGTTTTTAATTTAGGAGTAATGTTTTCAATCCCTAAGAGTTAATCTAATCGTTAGACTCTGAGCAGTGGTCCTTCTCTGCTGCTTTTGCATAGAAATTTATCTCCTTCACCCAAATCCTTAGACTTACAAGATAGATGAGTTAGTCAAGAACTGTTCTAAATTCTTCTTTTTTCTCTTTTTTTCTTTTTTTCTGGGAGGGATGGGGAGAAGGTTGAATGGGGTGAGGTGGAGAGGGAGACCAGTTATTCAGATTGCTTGAATAGCTGAAAGATTTTAATAAGCTGCTTTAAAACAAAATCACCCATGAAATTTTTGCAGTCAAACAAGAAAGGGAAGTTGGATGCTAAGCACTTTTTAACTATATCCCTAAGGAAAAAGAATATATTCACATCTACTCTTGAAAACCTCTGAAAATAAGCCTCGGATTTCTTTAGAAGCTAACAAGCCTCCCTGGTTGAAAACTAGAGAAATTTATTCTTGCATCCTATCCTGAACCAAATGCAGCAAGCGGTATTCCCTGGGGATTGCAAAGGATCAGTCCCAGCTGGGACTTGCTGTACAAGCTCTGGCATGTGATAAAATTATCCTTGGCATCCACTATATAATATGTTACCTGACAGTACTTTCAGTTTTATCTTATTATGAATGAGAGATGCATGCATAGTCAGGCTCTGTTTTTTCCGTGCATGGCTTCCTGTTTTGTATTAGTGTGCCTTTCCAGACTTAGAAGTAATCTGTATGTTTGTGTGTATGGATAGTTAAGATCATCTTCCCAGATGAGTCTGTAATTCTTTTGAACCCTTGTTCTTTTGGAATTGCTTTGAAATAACTTGGTACAGAATGGTCCTTTCTGGTCAAATAAAGTCAGCGTCCATCAAAACTGTTTGAACTGTTAACCCACAGTAGAAGAGGGATCCCTCCATTAATTAACAGTTGAATTGTATGTGAAGAATAAGAAGCTTAACTGCTCATTGCTCGGTGATCTAAGCTACAAAGCAGTGAGTTGTTTTTTAGGTGGAATATTCATGTGCCTTTTTTCATGTGTGTATTTTGCATAAATATTTTGCTGCTGGATTTCTAATTTGTTTCCGTGTTTTTGTAATACAGCCATTTATATTTAGCGCTTTTGAAGCGGCTTCTACAGTCAAATGCTGTTCTCCCTTGCAAGTTATCTTTTGACTTCAGTGGGATCTACTAAATACAAGTTTGGATGGATTTGGGCTAGACATCACCTCCCTCAATGACCTTGCAACAGTCTTTTAAGTCTTCTTTTTAGGATTCTGTGAAGTTCTTGTCTCTATTTTTACTGAATTGTTTATTTTTGTTTAAATAATATGTGTGTATGGGGAGAAATGGAAGAAGTTTATTTTTATTTATTTTATTTTCAGGCCTACAATAGAAGGTGGTGTTTCAGAAGTTGAGATAATTTCACAACAAGTTGAAGAAGAGACCAAAAGCATTGCTCCTGTACAGCTTGTTAATTTTGCTTATCGAGATCTACCCTTAGCTGCACTTGATCTGTCTGTGGCAGGCTCCCAGCTTTTGTCAAATTTGGATGAGGAGTACCAAAGAGAAGGGTAAGTACAAAGGACTTTTGTTTTATAGATTTATCTTAAATAAATGTCATAGGCTGGTTTTTTTATTTTTTAAAAAAAAAAAAAAAAAACCTTGAGATGAAGTACATCCACTTGTCTTCAAGCTCATGTTAAAACCACTATCTCAGAATGGAAATGATTTTTCTAAGCTATCTAACTTTTCAAGCTGGTGTTGTGCTCTTTGTAATTAAGTAATTTCTGAGTGTTGTTTGACACAGTCTGGAAGTCTCCTGTCAGACAGGGAAACCTAGACTGAAACCCTAGCCCGTAAGATAAACAGAATAGGCAGGTGAAGACTCTATAAAAGGTGCTTCAGGAGGGCTTCAGGTGGTCAGTTCGTGTGATTCTTTAGATACGTGTGCATCCCTTAATCAAGGGGTTAATGACGTAGTACTGTAGCCTCCTGCTTCCTAGACAAGGCATGTGCTTTTCACAGAATAATTTGTACTGTGTAATTTGCTTCTATGAGACTGTTGTCTTTGAGAATGCATATGCACATTATTCCTGTTTGTGAAAAGCATCTGTGTCAGGTTTATTGGAATAGAAGTTACTGATCGGATTCATAATATCTGCTCAAACATAGCCTGATGTCAGATTATGTACCATTGTAGTTCTACCAGGTAGAAGTAGTCATCCTGCCCTGTTCAGTCTTGATGTGGCTGTAGGTAGGTCTCAGTGCCTAGTTTTTAAGGAAAGTTTTGGGCCACCTGGTGAGAATCCAGTGAAATGAGAAAGAAAACCTTCCTTGGAGTGATTGAAATAACTGTCTGTATTTCCCACTCCCACAAAGAGTACTTTGAAAGCAACATAGCATAAGAGACATTTTAGTGAACGAACTATTCTCTTCCTCATTACCTTCATGGTGTTCAGGATGAGAAATAAAGAACCTGAATTTCAGCACAGAAGAGAACAGTTGGTAGCAGAGTGTTAGGATAGACTCTGTACTGGCAGGGACTGGGATAGCAATCACTAAATACTTTCCAGAAGACACGTTTGTCAAAGGAAGTGTAGTTTAACATCTCTTGGGACAAGGGAGTAGGTGACTCCTTGTGCTTAACCCCTCTGATTCTATGGTTCTTGTTCAACGTTGTATTGCCTTGAATTTATATATACTCTACTCTTAGTAAGATCCCTCTAAAAGCACTTCACAGTAAATCATATAGAGCTCTCATGATGAAGACATTAAAAGGCTTTATGTAAACCTCCAATTATTAATATTAATTGAATATATTTTAACCTCAGCTGAGAAATCAGTGCGGAGACCTACTTGATCTCTGCTCAGCAGGTGTTCTGTGTGGTAGACAGGAAGCACTGTGTGGGGAAAGCTCTTGCCTCCTTTAATTTCATTCCAAATTGGACTTTGTGAGACATCTCCAGAAAGCTGTTACCCTAAACGAAGGGAAGGAAATACGTTTCAATTAGGTTATATAAGTATGGTACAACTGTAACATAAAATAACCTGCATAGCAAAAGAGGCACTTCAGAATTAATTTGAGTATGCAGGTGTAACCCTCAGGCTATTTTGGTGCTGGATGAATACCAATTTAGTTCAAATGTGCATTTTCATAGTTTTTTATGATCTGAAATTCCATTATTCACAATGCCTAAGTCCACAGATCTCCCATTATGACCATTTGGGCAGCTTTGCAGTCTAAGCATGGAAGCAGAATTGTGACTTGTTTGTTAGCAGAGTTCTCTTCCCTTCATCCAGTCTTCTCATCTGGCTTTATCTGTCTAACAGAAATAGCAGATTCTTGTCCAGACCACCCAGCAGCAAAGGAGGATTCCCTTAAGAAAATTTGGTGCTTTAGTTTGTCTCAGTGCATGTTGGCTGAGTATTTTCAGCTGAGTCCCAGGGTTGTACCTGCAACTGATGTCTTGAGAAATTCAGGTGAAGAGCTGAGCTCAGGAAACCCACCAGGAAAAGAAATATTCTGCCTGTTGCACCTTGTGGTTTGTTCGGGAAGATGGGTGGATGGTGTTAGAAAAGGGTGTGATTTCCACCCCCCACCCCCTGCCGTTTATGGCCTTGTTCAGATGTGACTGACTCGGTCTCCTGCTTATCAGTAAGGAGGATATAGGGTGATTGGGATCAGTTTGGTACAGGAACAGCTAGCTACATCTCTCCTGTGTGCAGAGACTGGTATGGGAAAGGTGGGGGCAGAAAGAGTGCAAGTCCCTGTAGCTTCTGCCTGCATCCATGTTCATAACTTTGAAGCTCTCTCTTCCCAGTGCCTCCCTTCAGGCTGCGGATGTGGAAATGTGCAGATACCAGAAGATACTAGTAATGCCAGTGAGTGCTGAAAGGTGACTTAATACTCATCTTCCCCTCCTTGTCAGCCTGCCTTTTGCTGCAGACTTTCAAGGGTTGTCTGCTATATGCTTTTGTCTGAGAAATTTAGGAAAGGTGCCAGCCTGTATGAGCTGTGTATATTTGATACAGCTGTGATGGTCTAGATATCTAGTTGATCTACACAAGCTGTAGCTTTTATGATCCTGGGGCTGTGCAGCAGGAAGGTCTAGCAGATCCTTGCTTCCCTGGGAAGAAGTGACAGTAGAACAGCAGGGTCTTGCAAAGTCCTGAATTTGTTGTCACAAGCTATCCATGACCCTGCTTGGTTAGATTACTGTGATTTATTATTATTATTTTTATTATTATTATTATTATTTTTCAGTCCCTAGTGTCCAGGATATTGTTCCCAGCTCCTCATGTGAGTTGCCAAGCTTGGTCTTTAGTAAGTCTCCATCTGTCTGTAGAGCATCAAGAGGGACATCAGACACAAGAGAACAGTAGGGAGAAGGAGCCTCTGATTTAGTGGTTTGACTGTGTGCCCCAGCCCTTTTCCTCTTTTACTTCTCTTTATGCCAGAATGTGCACAGTGAACCTAACCCAAGTGCAAACTTCATCTCATTTGGTGAAGGGCACCAGGGGAGTTTTTGTTTAATCTGAGAGAATTTCTGTCAGGAAACAAGTTATTAATAAGCAACCAAGCACAGGTGGGTGGTAGCTCATTCCTGGTTTTGCGCCTGTAAAATCTCAGATGGCACCAGAATAGCTACCCCTCTCACTAAGGGAAGATAGGAAATTGGTCTGTTATTTGTTAATCTGACATTCCTGTGGCTTTAAAGATACAGGAATAAAAATCTTATTTTGTTCCATTTGATAGAGCTTTGCTTATATTATCAAATGCCCAGGGCAGTCTCTTGATATTATTAAAGGAATTTTGTGGTAAGTCTAAGCTATTTTTGTCAGAATTCAGTTTATAATGCTGATCCCTGTGCTAAGCAACAGAAGACTGCAGATTAGATGGCACATAAAACCAGTGCCTGAAGTACATCTGCAAGATTGGCAGTAGCAAAAGGGTAAGAAGGCAAAAAATAAAGCCCTTTTCCTCTTCTTCCAGCAATCCTCATATAACCCCCAAATCCTGGCTCCTCCTAGGAGGAGAGAATCCTTCTAAACAAGGATTTTCTTCTTTATATAACTTCTCAGCCAGGGAAAGTATTGATGTTGATATGGTGGAAATTGGTTAGTTTGGATGGAATCTGCAATGAGAAATGTTGTTTATTGTAAGTCATGTAAGTGGGCTGGCATCACCACCTTTTCACTGGAAAGGAGTGAGGTACGCTTGATCTCTGCAAATTACAGTGGGTGAAATGAGAGGTTGCTGTACCTGATGTCTTTAGAAGCAATTGGGTAGATATGCTGGTTGTAATGGAGCAGGGGCTCTTACCATTCAGAAAAAGGATGTTTTCTAATAAATGCAAACAACATATAATTCATCTTTTGAGCTTTATGTGATTATAGCAATCTATATATGTGAAGGCCTGTGTCTTCCCCACAGAGGATCACTGTGGAGCAATAGTAGAATTGTTCTCAGAACCAGTATGAGTGGGATGTTAATTAGTTCTGTTGATCTGCCCTGCGGTAAACTTGTTGAAGTCCCCTTAGATATTCCTGTACAGTGCAGTGCCCTGTGCTTAGGCATTGCAGAAGTGATCAAGGCCAGAGGAATGTGGATGAAAACAAAGCTCATTCAAAAAATGTGCCATTGTGTTTAGAACATGCAATGCACCTCTCTAACATATCTGAACTAAGTTAGGTGGTACTCTTGTACGTAAAGCAGCAGCAAAGCAGATGATTTTCTTTGAATTTATTGGGGGAGTCTGTTTGCATTAAACTCAGCTTTTATGAAAAGAATATATAAAAAGTTCTTTAAGGAGGCTAATCTCTCAGAAAGGTAAGGAGCTTTTTAAATGTTAAAGCTAGCTTCGAGTGTCAGGTTTTTTTTCCAGTTAAGTTTTCTGTTTTACAAAAATACTTTCTACCAACAATGACCAATAAAAGTGACGGAGAGTTGCTTGGAAATTGGCCTCATTGAGAAAGTTTTAATTGTGTAAGCCATAAACAAACAAGGAGAGGAAAAAGCTTTCCTCTATTTTCTTTAGCTTCTGATTCAGAAGTATCTTTCACAGTTATAAGGTACACCTGATAGACTGCATGTTTTTTTGAAGTAGTATGCAGTTAGTGGTGAGCTTCTGGCTTGATAAAACATCTGATAGAGGTAGGAAGCAAGGGGAGATAGATACTGTAGCTCTTTATTTCTTGTGTTTTATATAGCTGCTCTTGAATTTTTCCTCTGGTAAACATAAATTTGAAGCATGAAGATGCTCAAAACTACTGTCAACAGCTATAAAGACTGAGTTCCACATGGTTAATGTGACTCAGTTGACGTTAGCTGTAAATAGTTGCACTATTGTGCCTTAATTTGCTTGGTTCCAGGCTATTTAGAAAGTGAATTAAACTGTTGGAATAAATGGAGAGAGCTGCAAGGAGGGATATAGAGATATAAAGAAGGAAAACCAAAACTAGACAGATGTGTAGAGATTCAGAAGTTAATGCGCAAAAGAATCCTTAGAACTTTTTGCTAAATTGGTTGCAGGCCTTCACTGATGAAAAGTATTCATCTATCCTGGGGAAG